CTAGTGATTCTGTGATTCTGTGATTCTGATATTGTCATATTAGAATGTTTACTTCTAATCCACCTTGGGGAGAAGGTAATACATTGTATTATGATCTTCATTTTTTGTTTTCTGTATATACAGTTTTTTAATTTTGAGAAGAGTATGATTGAGTTAATTGCTTCCTCTCACCCTTGTGGGTAGCATTTCCTAATATAACACTGTGTGAGTTACTTTAAATCCTACTGTTATATATAGCTCCCATAGATGATTGCCATTTTACAAACAGTAGAAATTGTATAAGTCATCCTCAAGAGTCTCCAGTTTAAATTGTGCATTACATAAGGTGTTGACATTGAAGGTGAAAAGAAAGGAATGTGTGAAGAGAAGGAATATTGCAGGTACATATTCATCTTGTTCGGAGCCCAGCAGTTTCCTGGTGACTGACAATGCACATCTACTTAGGAGAGAAAGTGAAGAACTGAAGTACAATATATCAAGGTCTAGGAAGAGCATTCCAAAGATGTGACAGATTTCTTTGCGCTGTAATCTCAGGATATTCCAAGATGTGTTGACACATTACTTTTTGGTGGCTATGATTTTGTAAAGAAGCAAAGGGAGGACAATAATTAAGGCTCACATTTATCCCATCAAGCTGCTGATCTCCAGGTATGATTTGGAGAAATTTCCTCACCAAAACAATAGGCTTTAAAAATATCTGTGCTAAAACACCCTAATTATTGAAAATAGCAAGTGAACTAAGAGTTAATGCAATACAAATATGTATTAATTGAAATCTGTATTTTGAATCATCTTTATAAATACTGTGGGAAGATAGATGTTTCAATATGTAAAATTTGTGAGCTCTAAGGATGCTGAGAACAGCTAACAAGTGGCCAACCTGTTCAGTGTAAATCTTGCCCAAGCTTCAGAAATTACATTACAATTAAAGATTAAGAAGAACCTCAGAACAGATCTGGGCTCTGCTGTTGTATCAAGGAGGAGCTCTTATTTTTTTAAAGCTGTACTTTTGTCATGTGACAAATAAAAGTACATGCATTTATCATCCTGTTTGAGTAAAGTAGATCTAATTTCATTCTGATGTAATAACCGTTCATTTATCTGTGTCCATCAGTTCTTAATGCTCAATGTTAACTGTTCAAGGTGCAAAATCCACTCTGACTTATGACCATTTTATTTGACTGACTTCTCTAAACGTTTTTATTTTGTCCTGACTATGCAGAAACTTTTAACTTTCAGCAGCATATATGATTCCAGTAAAACAGTGTAGGATTCTTTATAAGGCTACCAAAGCTATTATGATTATTCATCATTCTGCCCAGCTGTTTTTTTTTGTTGGTTTGGGTTTTTTTTAACGACTCTTACCCCAGATAGCTTTGGGTTTGTACCGTATTGGCCACAACAGAACTTGGCCCATTATCAGACCTCCTCTGTGCTGCTAAACGCTCTGCAGAACATTAGGCACCTGGTCACCTTCATATCTTCATAGTTACTGTGGAAAGGTGGACACACGCTGAAGATTGCCGTCTTTTAGTTACGCTGAACTGTCACCCAAAAGAGTTCTGCTCTCTGCTGTCTGTGGATGAAGTGCAGAGGTATCATTTTTCTAAATTAAATGTTTCAGTTAAAATATGGTCCAAAAAGGTTATGTGTTCTTTAAATGTTTCCTTTGGACTCCAGGATTGTACCAGTATGAATTGCAAATAAACAGTATTTGGATTAATACTGTATTTATGTGTGCACAGCAACTGTTATTGTAACCTGTCTTTCAGAGTACACATGTTCTTGTGGATACTGCTGATGTCCTCAGCTGTCATGATCTAAAAAATATTCAGAAGTATCAGATCCCTGTTTTATGTGCAGATTTCATTTGGAAATCAGTTGAAAAGGGGAAGCTTTTACAGATTGATGCATATAAGGTTAATAAATCACAAGACAACACTTCTGACCAAAGGCCAGACAGACAGGGTAGGTATATTTCACATATTTATTCATGTATAAGTTATTTCAGAAAAGAATGTTCTAGAAGATTAATATTTAGAATAAGCTTTTAAGCAAACAGCGACCATGGAAACTGGCAATAAAGTTGATAAAAAAATTAGAATTTGTCAGAAAAGAAATATTAGTTCCATTCTGTGGAGTCTTTCCACTGAGTTGTGGGGTTTTTTTTTCTTTTAATGAAAATTCAAATAAGATTTGAAGTTGGAAATGTGGATAAAATATTAAAAATAACAAAAAAGCTACTCCAGTGTCTGTCTGTCTTTGACTCCACTGGAAAAAGAAATGACAGTAACCTGGAAATTTTAGTTAATTTTAACAGAATGCTGTGCGTTTTCAGTGCCTTTGTATGAGGAAGTATTATGTTTTGAAGTCAAAATTATGAGAAAATAAGGTAATTAACAAACAGGCTAACATGGGCTAGAAATATTTAATGTGACATAATTAATGCAGAAGAACTTCCAGCATTCCAATATGTAACATGGTTCAGATGCAAACAACTATAACTCTGTGTAGAAGGAAAAAAGGCACATGTTCATTTTAATACTGAGACAAGTCAAAGATTGTGAAAAGAGGTAAGAAAGATAATTCTATTTAATGTGTACAGTCAGCAAAAATTATAATCCTGAAAGTTATTAGTGTTTTAATTCTCTTTTTTCTAGTAACTGAGCTTTTTATTTCCTTCTACTTTTGCGTCTCTCACATTTTGCTGGGTGCTAGTATTCCCTTTAAGTATTTTTTTAAGTAATTACTTTTGACATAATACATAAGAATGAGAATCAGGACCCCTGCATTAGTACGTTTGCTGTGTCATTGAGTCTGCTAGACAAATCTGATTTTGCACAGCAGAGGCCATGGGCATGCATGGTTGAAGCTGGATAGATCCATTCAACAGCAATCCTAAATAGTTTTAAGCTAAGTAAAACTGCATTCATACACTATATCTATACAACTTTAAAAAAAAAAAAAGAAAAAAAAGGCAAACCAACCAACCAAAAACCCACAAAACCACCGGGAGCCGTGGAGGCATAGTTGCTCTGTGGTCAAGTGGCACAGTCTAGCCCTCAGCTACGTTGCCCTAATTCTTTTTCCCCTTCCTGTCATAGAAGTCAGGGTGGAGGGAATAAGCCCTGGCATAGCCCAGCGCAATACTAATTCTAGCAGTGAGGCAGCTGGGGCAGTTGCCTTTCAGTACTTGACTCCATGTCCTGCCAGTTACACGTCTGAATGTAATGTGACCTTAGAAGCTGTTAACTTGTCTCAACATGTAAAATATTTATGAATATTAAGTAGTAGTATTGTTTTTATTAACTATTCATAAGTTAAATTAGAGAAACCAGATATTATACCAAGTAAATAAATGTTTTGATTGCAGATGTGGAAGACCTGTCATCTGCTGAAAATAAAAATGCCACAAAGGAAAATGAAAACAACAATTCCAACCTTACTGTTACTGCAGACAGTGAGAGAAGAATTCAGTCCAAAGTGGGAACTCTTAGGTAAAGTAAAATAAAATTAAAGATACATAGATTTTGATACATCTATGTTGATATTTCTGTAAATTGAAAGAAACAAACAAAGCACTTCCCAATCTGTTTCAGTGTCTTCTGGAGGTGGCTCTCATTATCTTAATAATGTAATGGAAGATAAAATTATTCTTTCTTCATTTTCTGTATTCCGTGTGTATGAATTTATAACGGCTTCTTTTTTTTTCTTTTTTTTACCTTTGTCTCTGACTGTGGAAATTGATTTTACATTTTTCCGTCTCAGTGTACACCTACAGTCCAGCTCCCTAATATATGCAAAGTTTCTACCAACTCAGCAGGCATATAGTATGGCTCAAGCTTTATGATTTTCTGATTGGAGCTCTGTTTATCATCATAAGGATTATTTTTTTTCACAATCCAGTACAATTCATTGTTTTTAGAAGTGCTGAACATCTCCTTCTCCCGTGAAAATTCTTGGGAGAGCTGAACATCAAGATAACTGAGACTGCTCTTGGTTGATAGGAAAGCAGTATTGTATTGAGTTAAAGGAACAAAACCAGCTCCAACAATCTGTTAACAAAATGCAGGTTTCTGTACTAGAGACTGCTCTTCACTCATAGGATAGGCATTTAGTTACTCTGTCGGAATGTACTAAAAGTTACACTTGGTCTAAAAGTCCTGATGCTGAATGATGTGACTACACATATGTATCCTAATGTGAAAGTCAGGAATAAGAGAGGAATTAGCCTCAGACAGCAGAGGTAGCTGACCAAGCTATTAAAAAAAACCCGCAACATGTAACCAGGCAAGGAAAATACATTTATTGTGTTGCTTCCGTAGTTTTTTAAAGAATGAAGATTGAAATCTAGTCTTCATCTTCAGGTTCACACTAGACATTCTGGCCTGTTAGTGCAGCAGCTTGTCCGGTTGGGATTTCATTTCTCAAAACTTTTTGTGTTATTTTACTGCTGAAAAATAGATTTATCTTCTTATATTCATTCTTATTTTAGTATGATGTTGCAGCCTATTACAGTAGAGTATTTACTGGGCATATGTGATTTTAATTACTCTGATTCCATTCCAGATTTTACAGTGAAAATGATCAAGATACTCCTTTTTTCCCCCAAGATTTTGAAGTCGCAAAATACAGCATCCTTGAAAAAGTAAGCCTTTCTGTTATTGTGAGAGAATGTAGGAGGATTGTTAGATGAATAAAAGGTTTACAGTTTTATACACATCAGCAGTAATTCGTCTATGCTATCAGGTATTGCAATGCAAAGAGGACTACTGAAAAGTACTTTAAAGCTTTCTGTCTCTCAGTGCAGCCTAATTCTACCCAAATAAACTGTAGTGTTCTCACCGTAGTATTGCAGTAGAATAATATGCTTGCTTCTGACAAGATACGTCATCGTGGCTGTACTTGTGTTAAATCAAATTTTAACTTTAATTTTTTTTTAAAATCTTTCAAAACACAGAAATGATGGAAATGTACAGCAATCAGTACAATGAACCCCTCAGAGGAGCCTCTGCTTGGTACTACGATATAAATAATGAATAATTCTGCTTCTTAGGCAGTCATAGTGTGTGGTTCTAAATGGGGTGAAAAAAGTAAGTGGGAAAAAGGGAAGTTCTTGGTGCAGTATCATGTGAATGAAACATACTTAAGCAATAAATTGGGTGTCGGGTGTCTTTATTTATCTCTCCATTTAGGTTAACTCTAAGGAAAGCAAAGATTTTGTAGTTATTGAATTACAGTGTTCCCAAGAGCATTATGAGTTTCCATTTCGACTATACGCATGCTTCAGTGCATCAAATGGAACAAAGGTAAGAACCAGTCATTGACGTTACCTGTTTGTTTCTTTATCCACACTGAACATACCTGTTCCAGAGAGCTTCACATGCTTTCAATTCCTATTCACAGGCTAATCCTGAGACAGAGATAATAGGAGGTAATTCTGTGAAGCTTTATCATAAAAAGTTTGGTTTCTAGTTCGCTCCTCTACTCCGTGTGTTTGCTTACAACTTGTTCAGAAGAACTGATTTGAGACTTGGCAGTGACACAGCGTGGTCCTGGATGCACCTGCCTCATACTCACATATATTTTGCTGGCAATATCTAACTGTGTAATGACATGTTTACATGTTGAAATGCTATAGCAAGTGATATTCTAGACATACTGTTGAGAGACAGAAAAGCTTGTCTTGAGGGCAGCCTAAATGTTATTTCCCAGCACACAAGTTATGTATGCACTCTGGTATAGCACTTGCAGTCTGTGTCGTTGTAACAACATTAGATTCCAGTCACATAATCATAGAATAGTTTGCGTTGGAAGGGACCTTTTAAGGTCATCTTGTCCAACCCCCTGCAGTGAGCAGGGACATACTCAACTAGAGCAGGTTGCTCAGAGCCCCATCCAACCTGACCTTGAATGTTTCAGGGGATGGGACATTACCACCTCTCTGGGTAACCTGTGCCAGTGGTTCACCATCCTCATTGTGTAAAATTTCTTCCTTCTATCTAGTCAAAATCTACCCTCTTTTAGTTTAAAACCATTGCTCCTTGTCCTATGCTGAAAAGTCTGTCCCCATCTTTCTGATAAGCCCTCTAAGTACTGGAAGGCTGCAGTAAGGTCTCCCTGGAGCCTTCTCTTCTCCAGGCTGAACAACCCCAACTCTCTCAGCCTGTCATCACAAGGAGAGGTGTTCCATCCTTCTGATCATTTTTGTGGCCCTGCTCTGGACCCTCTTCAACAGGTCCATGTCTTCCCTGTGCTGAGGGCTCCAGAGCTGGCTGCAGCACTGCAGGCAGGGTCTCACCAGAGCAGAGCAGAGGGGCAGAATCACCTCCCTCAACCTACTGGCCACGCTTCTTCGGATGCAGCCCAGGAGACAGTTGGCCTTCTGGGCTACAAGCGCACATTGCTGGCTCATGTCCAGCTTTTCATCACCCAGTACCCCCAAGTCCTTCTCAACAGAGCTGCTCTCAATCCCTTCATCCCCCAGCCTGTATTGATACTGGGGGTTGCCCCAACGCAGGTGCAGGACCCTGCACTTGGCTTTGTTGAACTTCAGGAGGTTCACATGGGCCCATTCCTTGAGCTTGTCCAGGTTCCCTCTGGATGGCATCCCATCCCTCAGGCATGTCAGCTGCACCACTCAGCTTGGTGTCGTCTGCAAACTTGCTGAGGGTGCCCTTGATCCCACTGTCTTTGTCACTGATTAAGATATTAAACAGTACTGGTCTCAAGATGGACTCCTGAGGGACACCACTTGTCACTGATTTCCATCTGGAAATTGAGCCATTGATAACTACCCTTTGATCAAAGAAGCTGTATCAGGGATGAATTCTGAATAGTTCTATTGATAGAAAAAATTATTCCAGCAGATATTTAGATGAACCTATCTTGTCACTGTGGGTTGACAAGGAGACCTGTCATCCCTGATACAGAGCCCTGTGCTTGTTCTTCATGTCCCATGAACCATCATGGAAGCACTGCTTTGCAGGAAGCCTGTTAACTCCAACGCAGAAGTTAAGTGTGGATTTTGAGCTGTTAGAGCAGTGTCTGTTAAAATTGATTCTTTAAGTCCACTGTATAGTTTTTTTGACTAACTTTACTCTTTCAATTTACAGAATAATAAACAATTGGTAACTAAAACTGCTGAAGAAATAAGAGAGAAGTACGAGACTTTTATTGCAGACTTGAAGAGCCAGGATTTCCTGCTCAGAGAAACTTTTCCACCTGAAGCAGAATGTTTAGCTTCTACAAAATTGCAAAAGGCTTGTACAACTTGCATGTTTACACTTTGCTGTCCTTAATGATTTGGTTTAGTTTTCAGTTTTCTGAATGTGGCAAGCATCTAGATTACAGTGAATCAGCCATAGGTTAAGGGAAATATGTAATTGTTTTGAAAAAAATTTTTTTCAGAATATTGAGAGAATGTTCCCAGTACTTAAACACATTAAAAGCAAATGCAGTCATATTCATTATAAGTTTGGGGGGTTTTCCTCAGTAGATGCATTATCAACTAATTTGGTACCTAAAAAGTGATGTGCTAATATAGCAAACAGAATTGTTGTGTGATGTATGGCTTTGTCAAATTATTTGGCGCACTATACAGATGTCACAGGTTTGATGTAGATCATATTGGAATCAGTAACAGGACTCACCCCAATGGGAACAGCAGTTGGATTCTGCTCCCTGAAATACTCTTCAGACAATGTTTTTACTGCTATTTAAAATGGTTGTAGTGTGACAGAAATTTTTTTCCCATTTACATTCTCACTGTACTTTTATCTATTTCTCTCTTCCACCATGGTTACCTTCTATTATAGGGCACAACTGGCACATAGGTTATATCCAGCAATGTTAGAAGGTTCACATATGTCCTCTAGTGATCTCAGAAGCTGTGTGGTTGATGCCATATAAACAAGTAATATAGAATGTCCAAACTTGTGTGAGAATTGTTTAAAATGGTATAAAGTTTAATGACAGCTTCTGGAGTTATAGAACAGTGAGAAAAAGCTCAAGTAAATGCTTTAATATTCCTCAGAAGAACATGAGAAAATCTGTTTTCACAACTTTTTGATCTATCAGTTGCACTGGTTTTCATGACCTCTCTATTCTTCTGCAGCTTTGCTGCTCCATTTTTTTATTTTCACAGGAGTAATGTATTTCCCACCAGAGCTTTCTGAACTAGAAATCTAGTGTCATCTGTTAGAGATGTTATAAAACACTGGCAATTTTGAACCATCTGGTTTTTCACTAGCTGTGCAAAAAAAGGAAATGGCTGGGGTCTGCAGACTATTATGTCCATGTACCTGATAGTACAATGTACTGATAAAGATATCGAGCAAATCAACTTCTGTTTTCTCCAGGACTTTATGTCTCAGTTTTCAAGAGGCGTCATGGCCATCTCGCCTGCTGTACTCTCCACTTGAATTTATAAAAGCAAACCTTCCCTTCGATTCGATGGGGCTGAAGCAATTATACTAAGCATGAATGAGCATTGCGCCCTGTATTGTGTAAGGGAATAGGAAAGTGTGATTATCAGTGAGAGAATTTCACTGCAATGACTTGCATCTTTGTCTTTTCACTGAACTGTGTTTATTTTAACTACAGTTACTTCTAGAAGAAGCCATCCATTCAAGTACTATATGTCAGGAAGTTAGTGATTTTGTGGAATTGATCTGGGCAGAAGCTATTGGCCACCTGGATAGTTTATTACTTGAATCAGTAAACAGCATAAGCCTAAATGATGTAAGTTAATTCTTGTTATTCTGTGAGGATGAATATGTAAATGCTGTTAGAAGTAATTTTTTCCCAGCAAACACGTGTGTGTGTTTCAGATTGGGATTGGTAATTACACTTTTGATATTTCTGCACTTCAACAAATCCATGCTTCAGAAATTTTTATCTCAAATTTTGCTTTAGAATCATGACACTAAAAAACATGCTGTACTCCCTAGGGCAGATGGCTGTCTTTTCCATTTTATAGCAATTTACACAATTCTTATGGGAGGAGCCCTTCCATGAGGTAAGTCACATAAGAAGATAGTCATAGATGGCAGTACATAATAGCAGGTTATTGTCTCCTGCCAGTATATTTCAACCATACTTCGGTCAGCCATTCTTTTGTAATGGAAAAATAGTTTTACTTATAGTCCCTGTCTGCATTATCAGATGACACATGTAATTAACACACAGCTACTCTTGAAGGCCTTTGGATATTACAGCTGTTATTAAGAATAACTGCCTGTCCACCCCTTTGTTAAGTCTATGGCTCATTTAATCCCACTTTCTGACGTACCGCAATTCTTTTCCTTTCTTCCCTAGACATTTAAGAGGATAATGTTTATTCACATAATTTAAGTTCATATAACTTAACAAATAGCCAACAAAATGACTTTTTAAGATGAGGGTTTTGTTCATCTCTCTTATCACTGGAGGCAAAATTACCTGAAGGTTATGTTGGCTTTAAATTGGAAGAGCTTTGCCAGTAGAAGGTCCCCAATTCTGGAATGACTTTGCCCTAATCTTATTACATGAAATGCACTTTTGATGCTCTTCAATTGATGTATGGTAGAAGAATGTTCCTTTCACTTTTTGATGTGGATAATAATACAAATCTATATAGGTTCTGGTGGGTAAGTAGTACATTAGTAACATTGTATGCATGTACTTAGAGACAGTAGTGAGTGCATTGCATAAATCAGCAAAGATATAAGGAAATGCTGTTTGTGCTAAGGAAATGCTTTTTATGAGGTGCAATTGTTTGGATATTAAGATGCCTAATATATTTCAGGTATATTTTGGTGAAATTTGATAAATGTTTGATAAACAATGTCCAGTCATTCGTAGCTTTTGCAAGAGCTGAACCATAGACCTAAAAGATCCTTTATCCCAAGGCATCGATCTATAAGAATATGATAAAATTGTTTTCACTAACTCTTCTCACTTATAATTAATTTGCAAGAGAAATAGTATTTGTATTGAAAGAAAAAAAAACAGCTGGATTTTTGAAACACAATAATTAAGAAGTGGCTTGCTGTTCAGTTGGATTAACCCTACATTTTTTTCCCCAAAGGCATTTGTGTGACAGAGACCACTCTTGGATCAGTATTGAACTGCAGTAAGACATTGCAATGTGGCCTCTAATGTCAGCATTTCACTAGCTGTTGCCTGTGGTTCATGTAAATTAAAAAGCATTTTGCCTTTTCCCTCCTGCCTTGAGAAGACAAAAAAATACAGAGTATTCTGTGAAAACTTTCAAATTGAGAAGAAATATACTCACACAAGTAAATCTATATCCCATCTGTCTGGACAAACTGTCTAAAATTAATCATTACTTTAATTTCATCTGTAGGATGCACTTTATAAATAGGACTTCTACTCTGCTTTATGTATTTTAGAATGAACTAGTGCACTTAGACATGTAGTAAGAAACTCATTATCCTCTACTTTCTATTATTTCATCAGTGCATTAAAGCTGACAATATGAATCAACAAGATGTTAAGAAACATTATCTTTCAATCTAATTCATATTCAGTTTTATTTCAGGGAGGTTGTTTTACTGTCTCTCAGTTCTGCTTGAGGTACCTTGCAAGGAGCCCAGTATAAGGACAGAATAATATCCAACTTTTAAATACCGATTTCATATCCTAGCTGCAAGAAAATGTTTTATGGATTTTGCACTATCAAGGGTTAAAGTTTTATTTCAGTGTGGAATTAAATGATCCATTTTCAGTATTTATTGCTTTGTGCTCTTTCTGCAATTTGCGATAGCTTTCAGTTTAATAATCTCTTCTTTTAAAGGTGAGCAAAGCAGAAGGTATTTTACTCCAAGTAAAGAATGCACTGGATGAGGGAGCTGACGACATGACACTACAAGCGATGATAATGGAATTCTATCAAGTTATACGTCACAGAACTGAAGTAGACTATAAAGTTTCCAAAAAGCTATTATCTAGAAAACAGGACCTGTGTCAGGTAACTTTTCTAGATTGCCAGGAAGAACTTGTCTGCACTATACTACACCAGTTTTGAACATGCTTATTGGATAAATTGGCAGGATACGTTGCACAGCCAGTCAGTTTAAAAAAAAAAAAAAAAAAATTGGAATCTTGTGAAGAGATTCTGGGGGTGGGAATTCAATGTTTTGAACGGGAAGACCAGTTGCTGTCTATATGGTGACAGGAGTTTCCATTGCAATCATTGTTGTGATGGCATCTTCAGCTGGATCAAATGAGAATCACAGAACTGTTGCTGTCATCCAGCTGACCCGAACAACTGCTCCAGCATATACATAATCAGTTTCTATTGATTGTCTGAAACTATATACAAAATACATCTAAGCTATTTTAACTATATGCAAAGACTGTTCTGTGTACCTCTTCCTTTCCTGCATATGCAGGAACAGTTTCTGGAGACTATTTAAAATTAGCAATCCATGTACAGCTTGGTCTGTTCCTACTTCTAACATAATATCACAAACTGCTTGGGGGAGCTCCCTGGACTGCCCGGATTGTTAGTGCAAGAAGTTAGTCAGCACATCTAAACAGATAACATCTTGCAGTTGGTCTAAGCACAGCTGGCCTGCCTAGGGGAATCTCCAAGGATCTCTCCCATAGCTCCCCCTCAGTGTTACTTAGTCAGTTCCTTCATTTTTAAGCTGACTTTGAGTTCAGTCAGTCGGGAGATCTGTTACTCTACTGCAAGTCAGTTCATTGTCTCATCTTTGCAGAAACTGGCTGGGAAATTCTCAGCCTGCTGTTGGGGATTGCCAACAAGGTGCCCTGTTTGCACTCACAGATGCAGCCCTTGCCCCCAGCAGCAAGGACTGACTGCTCTGTAAGGGCAGGCAGACAGGGCTGGGGGTGAAAGTGAGCAAGGCCAGGGCAGTTACACCACTGGCAGCATCTCTAGTCCCACGGTACCCAAATAGGAAGAGCAGAGCAGGTGACAGTGACTGTTGGTGGTAGTAGCCATGGTCAGTCCAGATTGCCTCCTCATTATGGCATGTCTGGCAGGTCGAAGGTCAAACTAGGAATTCAAGTCCACAGGATTTGAAAGGCTGGATGCAGGCATATCAGCAACATAACTCATCCAAGAGACCAAGGGCAAGAGCCTAAGCTCAAAGGCTTCTCTTGAGCAAAGGAGTGGCAGGAATCTACTGAGTCTTCTCACCACTCTCTTTCAAGGCTCACAGCTGCACTCTCAAAGCTAGCCCTGAGCCCAAGCAGCCAGGCCCTCTGGAGAGGCAAGAGGCAGTCAGAGCTCTGACAGCTACATCACTCTTGTAACTATAGAGCAAACTCAAATTTCCTCCTTGTATTGTGATTATAATGTAAATTCCATAGATTCTGAGAATTTTTCTTTTGGCAAAGTATATCCAGAAGTCAGTCTTCTGTAAGTTACAAAATATAAAGGGGGAGGGGTAAGGAGAAGGAAGCTCCTTACTGTTCTAAAAGAACAAATTTTAATAGTGCCTTTAACCTTGGAAATCTTTTGATAATTAAAACCTTTTGACATTTGTTATATCAAAAAATTACTATGTCTCATACAGCTTTGCCGTGGCTTAGTGTAGCATTGCAGTGTTTTCAATGTTAGATATCCTTCTTTCTCCTGATCTGAGAAAATGGGTACCTTGTGCTACTGGCCTAGCTGGATAGTGGCGTCGGGGACAAAATGACAGATTCTAACAAGTAAGAATTTCCTCATAAGCAAAATCAAAATGGTAACCAAGCACAAATACTGGCTTGTGGAGCTGTTATGAGCAGACTCCATCCAAAGCTTGATTTGGAGTTGTAAAGAAGCAGCTTAACACTATTTTTCGTATACCTTGTTCTTCTGAATTGTTTTCATGGGTTTCTACAGCTGTTTGCTCTTGTTCCAAACTAATAAGTGGAAATGTTCTTTTGAGTATTCCATTTCATTGTTACTACACTGCAACTTTAAATATATTCAGTCTGGTTTGCCTGTTTCCTTAATTAAAATGTAACAAGTATTCATAAATTTCTGTCTGTATTTTCTAGCTAATCAGAGACATGCTTAATATACATGAAACAAATATGTCATGCCCAAACCCATCATCTTTGGCCAAATACCGGGCACTGAGGTGCAAGATTGAAGCTGTTGATTCAACGAGTTATGAATTTCTCAATGTTGAACAACAAGTGTTAAAACACAACTACAAGTGAGTGTTTAATAGCTATGCAATGATTCCAGTAAAATTCAAGGTATAGTGCATAAAATACCTCTAAAGAGGACTGGATTATTGGGTTCTGTTACTGTGCAGTGTTGATTGCTCTAGTGGGATTGCAGAGCTGGCATATTTACCATAACATATACTAGAACAAAATAGGGGTAAATTTAAAAAAACATGAAAATTATAATATTGTCATTTGGGGAGGGGGATCTGTCTTTTTTTTTAATTGTGAAGGGCTGTCTATTTATACAAGCTGTTAAAATAAGATATGTGGGGTTTAGACTTGTTTACTCTGTAAACAGTATTTATATTAATATAGTATTTATTTCCAGGCATTTTATAAAATAACTGGAAAGTAAACATAAAAGCTCTGCTGAGTAAAACACATTATTTTTTTCTGTGTGAATAAACTTTATGAGGGTGGGAGGGAATACCTGATCATCTTTTTATTATGTACAGAACTTGCTGTCCCTTTTTAGTTAGCTATCAATTGTGTGAAAAAGACATATTTCTGGGAAGTTATTCTGCAGATTTACCTATAATTCTATTTAACGTTCTTGACATTGGCTTCTAACTGGGCACCCTGTCTCTCTGATTAATAAGATTTAAAAATGGGTAAATATGGAGAAATTAAAGAGAAGATGGTTCTAGAAATGGCACAATCAATTGTTAAATTGTTAATACAGGAAAGAATGAAGTGGGCTTCAATTATACATATATAGTCACTCCAAGTTTGTTTTTACTGAGTGAATATGCTGTTAAGCAGATAAGGTCTAAAACTATGTAGTAACTACTAGCTACTAAGTGGTTATAGCCAAATATATATTGCTGTATGGAAGGGGCACTGTGCTTGGAACATACAAACTTCTGTTTGTCTTCAGTGAAGTCCTGTAGTTGACTGTCACTTGATGTTTTGTCTAAATTTTTAAGTCATTTAAAATTAATGGAGCATTTGTGTATGTGACTCATTTCCACTTTATAGTTCTTTGTGACAGAAACAATTGAATAAAGTTTCGGTGAATTTGCTGTTACATGAACCTATGGGACTCCCCTTTCTAGCTAGTAGTTATCTATGTTAGGGCCTATACACTAATTCATAAACTAAGAAGTTCTCTTCTCAGTTACTTTGTAAATGCAGAGGTTCCTCACTGTGTGACAGTTAGGAATCCTAGAATCCTAACATATCTTCTAGGTATTTCATAGGGTATCACTGTCTTTACACTGTTAAGCAACTCAGTCCTTAGTCCAGAGTCTGTCACCTGCGGAAGTCTATTCCGAGCATGTGTATGTATCAAACTGCTCAGGCAAAGGGAAGGTGGTAGGCACACTGTTCTCCACTCAGACCTTTACACAGTAGCTAAGTAGAGCATTCAGCTGGCAAGGATAAAGGTAAGAAGAGGTAGAGAGAGACTCTGAATGTTTTGTGTAATCACAAGAAGGGAAGAACAAGAATCTTAGTGACAGCTCTGTCCTGTAACTACTCTATGTAAAATGCATAAATCTTGCTGGATGTGGGATTGCAACACAGTTTTTCCTCCTCTCAGGTGTGTTTCTTAATTGGGAGGTCTTTCTTAATTGTGAGTTACTACATCCAAATAGCCTGAACTGTGCTGCTAAGATATTTGTAGTTCAGCCAAGACAGTGAGGTCTCTGACTATTCTCAGTAAAAGAATTTTTAGTACAAGATAGATTTGCTGGCATTAATTTATATACTTACAGACTCTGTGCTGCATAGAGTTACATGGGTTTTTGTATATAACATCTTTGAATTTAGATCCCAAAATGTCAAATAAGGTAATTTCTTATGACTTTTAGCATGAAAACACATTTTCAGTTTCTCCTTAAAAGTCTAAATAGGCCTTGAACTTAGTCATTAAGTTTTAATATCTCTGGTGATTTTTCTCTTACGCAATTTTTTTCTTTAATGATTGCCACACAAGTTGCTAATACACAAAAAAAAGTTGAACATTACCTTGAGATTTAGAATAAGAATTTATCTTTTAAGTATATTGATCTTAAATGCACTTTCTAAGTCATGAGATCTCAAAAATCACTTCACATTTCTTGCAGTGACTGTCCAGTGAAAATTTTACAAGTGTATAGGGTTGGCAGAATAACTGAAACAGCAGAATTTCTGAGCAGTCTTGGAAACATTCGATCCTTATTCCATGCATCATCTGTGCGCAACTTCATGGGAATTATTTCCAGGTGAAAATTTACATTCCCATTTTTGTGACATTGAATCAGGCTTAACTATATTATTAAATATATCTTGACTTTTTTTTTAATGAAGGTCTTTTGCATTATGTTTAACCTAATTTTTACTGTTAACATTTATATGAACATCCATATACTTCTACAGACCTCTGGAAGGAAAATCAATCTTTTGTAATGATAAATTTACTTACTGTCCAGGTAGATTACACTTGAGGTGCAGCTATGTGGATATGACGGTGGGGAGTGTGGTTTAAATCCAGATGAAAGATAACAATATGGAGAGAGTAGGAGAGTAATGGCTTTCTGGAAATTTTATTCTGTTTTAGGAAAGAATTGTATTGACAATGTCCTCCTTCCACTTCTATACATTATTTCCCCACAACTATTTTATTTGGATATTTTTAGATTATCATAATTTCCTGGAATAACAGAATATTTAGTTCTATGACTGAATACAGTGGATTCACTCAGGCATGGTAATAATGCTAAAATAATATAATCTCTAGTAGCCTGATGTATTTAAATCTTCATCATAGCATGTATGCAGTGAATACCAGCCACTGAAAATTCAAAGATATTTTAAAAAATATATCTGATACATAATGCACCAAGAATTAAAATACCTCAAAGTCATATTAGCATTGTTTTCCTCATACTGCAGATTTTAATTGTAAGTTACAAAACTGTTGACCTTATGTTGTGTCTTTTTACATTCTTTATATATAAAATGTTTTCTGTGGGCATCAATCAGTACTAAATCAAATGTCTAATAAATGATCGAAGGTTGATATCTCTACACTTAATAGGTTTGCAAACCAAACATTGGAAATTTTCCAAGTATACGTTCCCCAGCATTCTACCTTTAAAACTCATACTTCCTTTTTCTTAGATACAAAAATTTCATACAGTTTTTTGAATTGAAAACAGCACAGTTGCTAGAAATGTAGAACTACTCATCTAATAACCAAAAAATTATTTTCAATGTTTGGCAATGAGTCTGGAAAATGGGTTGGTTTTCTGCTAAACGAAGAAAAGCTAACAGTCTTTATTGCTTATATAATCAGTGTCTTGGTGATTAATATGACTTTGGGAAATTTTTTTTTATGAATAGGCTTTATTTTCCTTGAATGTCTGGATGGTTTCTGTAAAGTGTATTTTGTTTTAATCCTTTGTGTTTTGTAATTGCACAATGTGTATTAGCCACGTGCTATATGCAAAATATTTTGTACTTCATTCATTGTGTCGCCTTCTTTTTCCCTAGGGGACTCCTAATGCCAAAAGTGGTTGTTGAAGATCATGGCCTGGAAAGAACTGACATTGGGAATCTGGGCAGTGGCATTTACTTCAGTGATTCTGTTAGGTCGGAATAATGACAATATCTCTTTAATTTATCCTCTGTGTATTCTTTTTACTTTTCAAATTAAGTAGATACAATGCTTAATATTTTTAAGGTAATTTAATGATAAAGTTTATTCCTGTCCATCTGTTCAGAAGTACTTGTGTGTATCCTTAAACTCCTATGATGTTTACACTAATATAAATTTTAATAAAATGTGTATGATCTTTCTTTACATAAAGCGCCAGTGTTAAGTATTCCTCACCCAGCGAAATGGATGGAACCCGGCTCCTGGCAGTTTGTGACGTGGCTCTTGGATCCTGCTTAGATTTGTATGAACGAGATTATTCATTAAATAATCCACCGTCAGGTTATGACAGTGTGCATGGAGTCCGTAAAACAGCAGATGTCTCTTCAGACTTTGAGGTACTGATCCTCCAGTTTTGAGCACTTGAAAAGGCACCAAAGTTTGGATTTGTTGTACCACAGATAGATAACAGAATGAATGTAACCCACTTTTCAGTTCAGGCACTAAATCACTAGGCAGTAATGCGTAAAATCACTTTTGACTGTCTTGCAGCCTGTAAAGTGCGTATAAAACTTCTAAGCCTCTAAATTGCTCTTTGTAAAGAATTATTGCAAGAAAACAATACTTAAAAGAAAGATGTAAATACTATATTTTGTTATAACTGAATCATTGTATAAATATATGGTCTGTGATATTTAAATTGTTATTTGGAAGTGATACTCTTCTTTGTACGACAAGAAATCACTACCATGGAAGGTTCATTGTTTTGTAAATTAATTCAGCTGATAAAAATCCCTGTCCTTATAGGTTGGTACTCTAAGGCAGGGATGATAGCTGTAATGGGACAGTAACAGATACAGTTGCTCTCTAGATATCGATGTTTTTAACTTTTTTTGTTCTTAGTTGTTTTGAGGAATGACTGTGCTTTATGGAGAGAGGAAATACAAGGAGTATAGTATACAATATAGGAGTATATATATATTCTTATATATACATATATAAGAATACAAAGTACGAAGATGAGATGCAAGTGGTAGTGATACAGAGAGGTTAGGGGAGTGAAAATAAAAGCTGTCAGATTCTTACTATTTTGCAAAAATGATGTGTCATTTAGGTTGACCTCTCAATCAGTTTGCATTGTTTTAGATATTATCTACAGCTTTGTTTTTATTATAAAATACCTTCCTTTGTTTTTACCAGGATGATGAATTCATTGTGTATAAAACCTGCCAGGTTAAAATTAGATATGTTGTTAAGTTTTGCCTTGATGAAGATCAAATAAAACCATTTCAGCCTGCAGCTGGAGTGGAACTGGAGCAAGATAACAATGAGCCAGAGTCGCAATGTCATTTACAGCATGAGAGTAAGAAATGTTTTCTGTTTGTATATTGACTTGCTTTCAGAGTTTCCTAAATACTTACCAGCACCCTTTTCAGAGTACTTGTATGAAGATAACATAATTTAAAAAAAAAATTGTAGTTTATTTGCAGATGTTATCAAATTAGTGATTACCATGTGGCATCTGTGTAGCATCTGTTTAACAGATTTCCTATAGGCATAATTACCAACAGCAGTTGCAACTCCTCCTGTCACAGTGTGTTTCAAGAGAAGCACAGGGGGCACTTTTGCATTAAATCATCAGATGGGCTTTAAATAATTTAAATGCAAGGTTTTGAACAAAGACCTTGTAAAACCTTAAAGAGCTATTGTGAACTCATGATCCCTTAGACAAGACAGCCTACAGCTCAGCAGTGCAACACAAGTATTGATAACAGAAACCAAGTGTTACTTTTGTGTTCTGAATTGCATAAACATGGGCCACTGATAAAGGATTACTTTCAATCATCCTTCCTGAATGTATATTGCAAAAAATATCTTTTGTAAACTCTTTGTTTAGGCTATGCACTACCAAATGCAAATCTTTCGAATCCTTTAAAAACTGGTCTTCAGGACAGATTGGGAAATCCTGTCCCTCTGGAAGGTGTTTATATCAAGGCAAGGATAATAGACTTTGTAGCACAGGTAGAGTATGCTATTTATTGTCTTTTTCCATAACTCAGCCCTGAAAAATTAGTCAGTTTGTTAAACAGTCTTTTAGTCAAAATGCTATTTAATGTTTAGTTAATTGCAAAAAAAAAAAAAAAAGGCATTTCAATTTCTAAGTGAAGGGAAGTCCTGAAACTGAGTGGAAACAGTTTTTATTCTTAGAGATGTATAGTCAAATGCCAAAAGCAATTTGGTCAGTGAAAGGCTTGGCTTTATTTTTAAGTCTGTTTTCTGCCTATGCATAATCAAGTCACCATTGTAGAGACATTTTCTGCAGTAGTGTATGCATTCTGTTCCATTTAAAAGACCTTCTTGGTGGTCTGTTTGCCAGCTGAATTATAAACCAGTGAGAAATACCTAGGACAATTAAAGGTTTCTGGAAATGTATTCGTGGTTTTGTTTTTCACTTTGGTTAGACAACCTAAGTTAGCTGTCACAAGTGAAATATGGATCAATACAGAAAAACTTGCTATTCTAACCTGACAATTAGGTAATGAAAATTGGCCAAGCAGGCTAAAATAAGGCCCAGCTTGTTTTTTAATACATATGCCCTAAAAGCACATGCTGTCAAGTCACAGGTCTTTTCCAATCCTGGAGCATAATTCTGCAATCTTCTCCCCCTTCAACTGCATCCTGCCTAGAGCACTCTTGATCACACTAAAGCTATGGCTTTACTGAGTTCTGTCACATATGCGTCTCTGCACAAAAATCTGTATTCAAGGGTTTTCAGTGCCAAAGTAGCTTCATAAAATCAAATAATTTGGGGTTTATATATGGTGTTGCTAAAGCTTTGAAAAAGGAAGCAGGGGAAAACAGGAGAGGAAAGGGTTTGAAAGAATTGTCTACAGATGAGTCTGTGCTTAAACTATTCTGACACTCACAACTGTTGTCTGATCAGTCTGATTCCTTTTAACAACTGTTCTTCTCATGAGGGATTTGGGGTGGGGCGGGGTTTGTTTTTGGTTTGGTTTTTGGTTTGTTTTTTGCCTGGTTTCATATGGAATGTAGTACTATGCAATGGCATCTATTCTATGATCTATTCCATCAAAGCAGAAAATAGTCCATAAGGCAGAGGTACAGACCACAAACCAGAAACGATCAGACAAGAAGAATAGCAGCGAAAGGGAATGATGAATTGAAAGAGTTTTGTTATTACACATGGGAAGTAAACAGAAGAGCAGATGTGAGAAGTCAGATGCAGTCTGCCATCTCAGAGACAGAAATTCTGTCATGAGAAGGTGCATACTTCACATATAGAAGTAACATAGGCTTTTCCAAACATTCCTTTTTGTATATCATAAAAATAGACCTTTTTTTGTGGAGATTTGCTCGTCCTTGTTTAGTTTTTACTGGCTTGAAACTATTATAGACATACTGCAGTGTTGACTTTCTTGTAGGCAATAGCTTGACAGCTCCAGCTCTGTCAGTATATCAAATAATCTTTGAAGGTCATGGTTTACTTTTCTTCTGGAAGAGATTCAATTAATGATTTAGATTAAGAGTTCTACAGCTCCTTGCATGTTTCTGGAGATATCTATTTATCAAGCACTGATGAATGTTATACCTTCATTTCTAAGGTACAAATAGAACTTCTAGTTGTGGCATGCCTATTGACATTTTGTGGTGCAATGCAGTTATGCTGTTACACTTAAAGTTTTTATGTTTTAATCACATTTTAACATTACCATTATGCAAAAAATATTCATTTCAGGTAGTAATGTTTCAGACCTACACCAATCAAAACAGTAAACCAATTGAAGCTAAATATGTCTTTCCTTTGGATGATAAAGCTGCTGTTTGTGGATTTGAAGCTTTTATCAATGGAAAACACGTCATTGGAGAGGTAAAATGTTACTGTACTCTGCCTTAATGTAGCTCCTCTAATCTCCAGATTTGAAAGCACTTAATTAGTAATGAAGATGTGCAACACGAATTTCGGTTTCTCTCATGTCCTTTGTTGTTACCACTTGACCGGCTTTCAAGGTAGTCATGTCACTGAAGAGGACATTGGTTAAGTTTTCTGTCCATAGAGATGAAATTACTTGCTTTGGAACAATTTTTCATAGGTAAAAGAAAAGAAACAAGCACATAGGGAGTATCGGAAAGCTATCAGCCAGGGTGATGGAGCTTATCTGATGGACCAGGATGCACCGGTATGTTGAATATTGTGGTTTAGTACCTGCTTGAAAATTTTGCAGTTGTTCAATTACAGATTCTTTGCTGAATCGTGTCTTTGTTGGGAAGTTCCTTTTTACTAGAACTTATTTGGACCATACATTTGATCATTTTTAGAAACAACTATTGTTTCTTTAAATATGTGCTATGGCTTACTTAAAACAGATATTTCTCTCTCAGGTAGTTTGCATTGGGATTTTTTTTGTAAAAGATTGATTTATTCAGTTACTATTGATCAATTTTTACCAGAAATTAAAGAATTACTGAAAATTTGACATTTCATATCATAGTCCCATTTTTCCTTACACTTCATCAAAACCAAATAGTAGTTTCTGTGTTAGCATTTGGTTTCAGTGTACCTAAACACCAGTTAAATTATTGTTTTGGAAAACATAGGTTTTAATGATGTCATTAAAGCTAGTTTGTTGTTTTGTTCTTGGGGCTTTTTTTAGGATGTTTTTGTAATAAGCGTTGGAAACTTATCTCCAAATTCTACAGTTGTGATCAAAATCACCTATATCACTGAACTGAGTTTTCAGCATGGTTGTATCACCTTTCATATGCCTGCTTCTGTGTCACCATGGCAACAGGACAAAGCATTAAATGAAAACACGCAGGTTTGTTAAAATAGCATCTTCTTGTTTGGAAGCAAAAGTTCTGTGCCTAGGGGACTGTAGTTACACAAGAGGCTTTCAGTAAGTTTATGATTGTTTTCCTTGTCATTTCTTCCCTTTTGTTAGCAGATAATTGTTTTAACCATTCTTGTTGTAAGCAATGGGAACACAAACTTAGGAATGCTGTGATTGCTAGAAAGCCTCTAACTATCTCTGAGGATGCAAAACTTAGAAAGTTGAATTGAGTTGGCACATGTTAGATCTCGTATTTTGAGTTATCTGCTGTTTCTGTGCTGCTCTTCCTCCTTTGGTGTGCAAAGACATTCTTTTACCTCCATCATGAAACAGCAGATGAGCATCTGCTGAACACTCTGCTATTATCCTCCTCTGCTCCAGGGACAAGGTTGCCTATCCATTTCTTTGGATGCCCTTGATGGCTTCTGAATTCTCCAGGTGGGAGGGGAGGTTATCTCTGTGTTTAAAAGCTGGCAAAGAGCCAGAGATGGTACCTTATGGTCTTAGTCCTTCTGAGATCGTATGGCTATATTGTAGTCTGACTGTTCAACGTCATGCCTTCTTCTTCAGAGCTGTGTTATACTTAGTTTTCAAGTTCATTGTGTCCTCGGGAGAGAAATGTGCACAGGTTCATCTGAATTTTAGCTGCTATGGTGCTCAGATAACAAAGCTATATGAAGTAAAGAAGATTCCATACAATCCCAACTTAATGATATAATGAGAGGAAGGAACTCCAGGGTGAAAGAAGTGTCAGGAATGACATACAAATATTTCATAACCGGTGTCGTTAAAAAATTTTTTTTTCTTTGTAGGATACAATAAAAAAGGTTTGTGTTAGACAAGTAAAACCACAGAAAAAGTAAGTTGCTTTCATTAATAATGTTGTCTGTTTTATTTTATCGGTGCCTTAAGTAATTAAGTTAAAACATTTAAATTTAACATTTTTCTATTTATATGACATATTTGGTGGTAAGTTGCAATATCAAGAAACTAGTTTAATCTCACCTTTCACTCTAATCTCTTGTTATCCTTATATAGGTAATACCATAGCAGAATAACTTCTAATTATTATACTCTTTTTCTTCACTAAATGCTTTCTTTTGTTTTAGAAACATTTCTGTTAATAAGGATTATATATAAATTACCAAGTCATAAAACTTAATGAGACTGTGATCTTATTTTTTTTCAATATCACTGCACTTAATATTTTAGCTTTTCTTTGCATTTGCATTTTAAATAAAAATTTACAATTATGTGAAACTGTGATGTTGCTGGTAAAGTAAGACTTCTTGGAAACTGAGTACTATAATTTTATTCCCAGTAACATTTCTGCATATGCCTATTCTCAACCACAATAACAAGCAGTGCAGGGAGTAGTAGCAGTAAATGTGTCAAATGCATAGTAGCAGTAAATGGGCCGGATGGGATCCACCCGAGAGTACT